CACTACCACTCACCTTCCACACACTGCTATAATTTCTTGTATTCAAGACCTCAGACAATGGATGCAGAGTAACTTTCTGAAACTGAGCACTGATAAATTTAAGTTCTACTCAATGGCCCTAAGTCTTTGATTGCAAATTTCATTGACTTTACATTTGGACAGTATGATTCCTTCAACAGTAGTCCGTAACAGGTGTACTTTGTGATCCTGTATTTTCTTCTGAACCTTATATTAGGGCTTTGGTCAAAACAGCTTTTTCCATCTTTCATATTGCTCGTCTTTGCCCCTTGCTCTCCATGAAAGATAATGAAACTCTGGTTCATACTTTAATATCATCCTGCTTAGACTACTGCAGCTACCTTCTCATTGGTGTCCTATACAAAACTATCCACCCTCTTCAGTATTTGTGAAACTCAGGAGCTGGTATACTCACTCTGAAAAATCAGCTCCTGTCATGACATGCACTCTACAACTTTCTGCAAAAGCCTCTGATGATTAGATTAAATCAACACAAGAGTCATCTGATCACATGCTTGAATAGAAGAGATAAGATGTTTAAAAATCTGACCTTTTTTGCAGAGGTGTTAACATCAGTGTCATAAATTTGCTAAAATTTAAATAGTGACCTAGAAATAGTACAGAATATTAAATATTTTTTTTCATTTCACTTGTCATTTCTTCCTTTCTTCACTTCTTCTTATCCATTTTTGTCCACAGTTCTAAAACTTTTTGTTGTTTGCTTCCAGGTTTAAATTAAACAAATATAAGATTTTAAATGTGCTCTCAGACTTTGGACCCCTCATTGTATATTGTTATCAGTAATAACAATTGTTTTAAAATCATCAGATGTCTATCATGCAAGAGCTGAGTAGACGACACACAAAGTGACACAATATCATCTACAATTTGGAAGTCCCATAGGCAAAGATGAATAACCTTATAGGGAGGCAGTCATTTTCCACTCCTTTTAGGTTGTCTTCATTACTCCAGTCACAGTGGGTCCAGTGAGCCTGTGGTGCTGCTGAAACCCAAGCTGCTCTAACCCAGACCGAGCCCTAGGAGCCTGCCGTGTCACAAGCGCCACTGCTTTATCACTTCCCCTCTGCCTCATCTCCCATTTTCCTCTTTATCTCCTTCCCTCCACTGGCTCTGCTTTATTGGCTTCCTTTGGCTACAAAGAGGGCAGTACCAGATTGCCTAAAAACAGAGTTAAGGTCAGTACTATTTTGAAAGTCCATTGTTTTGAATTCTATGCAGTACACACTGAAGGATTTTGTCAGTAATACAGTAAGTAAAATGAACTCCAACTCCTAGTATGCAGTTTCATGAATCGTTGAAGAATATTGTCCTGTTTTACTGAACATTCATGAGTAGTTGAACTGTGCAAGCCTTATCTTGAGAAGTCCTCCTTGTTTCAAGTTTGATCGAGAGCCTGCATCTGCCATGTTGGATCATTTAGGTTAGAAAGAGCTTTTAACCTTGCGTACCATTGCAATGGACTTCTGCCATCTTTATGATCCTGCTCATTAAAATTAACTGTTCGGTTGTAAAAAATAGATTTCCTTTTAATGCAGCCTTCTGGATTTCCTTATGTACTGCTCATTGTATGTGAAGCGAAGCTGTGCTTTCACGCTTGTTTCTCTCTTTCTCTCCCTAGACTTCTTTCTTCAGCACCCCTTTCATTTCTGCTTCTGATGAAGGTCTTGTTGAAATCACAGGCGGTTAATGGAAAACTTGTTAGCTGGCCAGTTTAAGGGTTTTCTAAAATAGTGAATGATTCAGTTGGTAAAGTATTTATTAGGAGCTCTTGTTGAAGGAGTGTTTAAGCTATTTTGTATCATTTAAAATAATGGGGAGTATAGATTATAGCTGCCAGAGTGAGAACTTAGATGACATGGCAGTGGGGTCAGCTACCTCATTTTTCCCAGATAATATATTGGTACCTCCAAATAATGACGTTGTCTTTTATCTAGTTCAGTACTTTATGACATGTCATGCAATTTGTCATATTATTATTTACTTTCAATATGCAAATATGCCATTCCAATAGTTGCATTGTGTCATTTATATTGTCAGCTTCTGCAAGATGCTCTTTCACTCATTTATTTTTTGTTGAATCAGTGTCCTCTAAATTAGTCAGTACAATTCTTAAGACTTCACTGGGGGAATACCCCAAATTTTAACAAGGCAAATTTAAGAGACCTTTTTAAAACTTCAGCGTGCCCTTTTAAAGGCAACACCATCAAACTGAAGCCTTTTGATCAACCCAGTAACCTTCCACCCTTCCCAAAGGGTTGTTTTTTAACACCATCATTATTGGGCCTCAGCCCATCGGCTTGTCCTTTAGAGTGGCACAGCCCCCCGTTGGACTCGAAGCGGGCCCATTACCAGCAGGGTCTCAGAGGGGACAAGGCCCTAGTGCTTGGCCTGGCCCTGAAACATTGTGTGCCTGTCTGTAAAAATACAAAGAGGGGGTTCACCCAGCCCCTCAATGTTATTTACCCTCTTTTGTGGGTGCCTAGAATCTGCACTTTTACAGGGACTTCAGGGTCAGGTAGAGACTCCAGGATTATATACCCCCTAGCGCTCATCTTGCTTACAGAAGCAGCAGCCTGCCCTCACCTTCACCCTCACCTGGTTGTCCGTGGCTCTGGGGGCTAGTAAAAGCAAGGTACAAGGGGATTGTCTATGAACTCAGAGACATCATCACCTCGGAGTACATCATCTTTTTTTGGACTTGAACGAGAGAGATTCTGAGTGTTTCATCTTTTAATGAAGCCCCTCGGAATAATCTAGTCCCTCTGTCTGCTGACTTTACAGCAGGACTGGCTCCAAGGCCAAGTGTATCAGTGAGTGTTGCTGGCAGTTTTTACCTTTTCCCCTTACATTTCTGACTGTAAAATTATCATCATCATCATCATCAACATCATCATCATCATCATCATCATCATTATTATTATTATTATTATTATTTTGCTCAGCACAGAAAATGTGTGCTGGGCAGAGAAATTAACCTTGCTTGCTGGGAAGATCTCTAGCATGGCTTAGTATTTGTCTTCTCAGCTCTTCCTAGTGTGATGGGGCAGCATGGTGACACGTTCTGAGAGGCCTGAGGCATCCTCTGCTGCCACAAGCCCCTCATGTCCTCCCTATTATCTCTTACACCCCGGGCCAAGCCGTTTGGTCCAAGGCTTTTATGACAGGGTAGGGAAGGGACACAAGGAAATGAGGTGACCCCAGGGTCATGTGTGGAGTCAGGGGGCTGAGAGTGGACTGTGGGCCAGCCACCTCTCTCTCTTGGCCAGTGTGGGTCAGGCCAGCCCTGCAAACCAAACATGGGGTACTGGGCAATGGGTGAATGGGACTCCTGCAATCCTTGACCCAGCACTCATGTGCCTTTAATTAAGGCCGATTTAAATTTGTTTACAAGCTCCACTGGTCTTAAATCTTCCAGGTCTCTGCCCCCACCCCTTAGCCTGCTCCCCTCCCAGCATTGCCCCACTGGCCTAGACTGCCTGCCCTTTTAGCTTCCTTTTTTTCTTCTCTCTCTTTAATATGGTGTTGGACGTTCGTTTATGATGCTATTTTAACTGGTTTTCAAGCATGGGTTACAAGCTATTTGGGAATCTACAAAATTGGATGCTAGGGGACACCCCTCCAAGATGTTAATCTGTTGACTATATGAAAGGCTGCTCACCTCAGTAAGCCCTCCCCCCTGATAGAACCAAGGCTCTTTACGGCCCCATCAGGCACCCGCCTGGACGACTAACTGCTGACCTCTTGACTTGGCAGTCAAAGCCATATGAGGGGAATCTTTGCTCCTCTGCTCCTGACTACCCCCACCCCATCCTCTCTTATCTTTCTTCTCTTTTTCTGTGTTCTTGTCAAATAATGGTGATTTTCATTTGAAGTTCAAATGCTTTGATATGTTTCTTCATGACTGAAAGATATTAATTAATTGATAGAGCTTGTGAACATACATTAGGTTGCATTAAAGCTGTATTGGAGTTTGAAAAATTATGTTTCAAAATGTGAAAAGTTTGATTGTGTTAGAAGTTCTTCATGCACCAGTATCTGTAGCTTTAGCCTAAGAGGGGGTGAAGCAGTAAATTCCTGTGGCAGCGCACTCTCCAGGTTCACCTTCATGTGTAACATTTACACAGAGCTTGATGCCGTTTATTAGGGAGTTACTAGCATGTTTGTAGCTACAAAAAGTTCCTTGACCAGTTCCATCACATTAAAAATTTACACGTAACTACAGAGCTGTTACTAGTAGGTTACTAGCGTATTAGCATAGAGTTTGCAGCCTGAAGGCCTGGCACAGGGGGAGACAGGGCTAATTGGAAAAGATGTGTTAAGTAAATGTTTGACTTCTCTGCTGTGCTAGAGGAACCAGAACAGTGACCAGAGCCTCGTAGAGATCAGAGGATGAATGAAGGCAGGAAAAGAAAGATTTGCCTTTTGACAAATGTTTGAGAAATGTGCCAGATTAGCAAATGTCCCATTTCATTTTTTTTCATTCAACTGTCAGTGAATTAATTTATAATTTCCAAAAAAGTATGTGTAATGAAGTTTCTTTTGTATATTCTTTGGTGTCTCTTGCACCTTTGTTGCCTTTAAGATGTAATGAGTCTATGCAATAAAGCTGCTGATCAGTTGTAAAAGTATTTACAGAGCTAGCTTTGCTATGTTTGATATTGACACTAACAATATTGACATTTTTGTACATATAAATTAGTTTTATTGGATTTACAAATTTTGTGGAAGTTTGAAGTTTTAAGGTCTAATAATTTTCACTAACCACAACTTGGCATGGACAGCAGTATTGCTGCTGCCATAGTTTTTATTGTTGATATCTAGCCTTCCAAGCCATCAAAAATATGTAAACCTTTCTTTCTGTAATTTAATTTGATTATGACAGGTAAATGATATTCTCCATTGTTCCAGTCTTTTTTAGCAGTCAACATTATCAATAATAAACTGCCGATATGTTCTTAAAGGTTCCAGATTCAGCGAGGAGCCAGTGACCCTAACAGCTACAAAGGTCTAGGAGACTGTTTCAGGACCATATTTCGCAATGAGGGGTGAGTTCATCTTTCACCTGTCACCAGTGTTTGTTTTTTTCAACCCCCAAAGCCATTTGTACAGATGACACTGTGAGTAATTATATGACCTTGTTTTTTAACCTTGACTGTGCTGTACTGTATGTGTCCTAAAATTTGGGTGTTCTCCCAATACTCAGAAATGTATTGTGCTTCACGGTCACCTGCATGTATGAGTGTACATTAGTGAGTACAGGTAAAACATATGGAAGACATGCACCTGGTGAGAGGAGGTGTTTGGGTCTGTTAAAAAGAGGGGGGGGGATGGCATGCAGTCATCCCACCTGTTGTGGAACATGTAACGTGCACTAAAAATTCAGAGAGTTAAGTCATTGATTGATTTTATACACTTAGCAGTCTCTTGCTTTTTTGTGCCAGGTGATTTTTTTGAACAAAGTGCTCATTTGTGACATAGTGTTAAAGTAGAGATAGAGAGAGAGAAGGATAGAAGTTTATTCTTTCCTTATCTCTTTCTATTTTTCTGTTGCCTTGCCTTCTTTTTATGCCATCTGTTAAACAAATCTTTTCCATGTTTTAATTCCATTATCATGTTAGCCCCTCTAGCACACATTCACAAACACTCAAACACACATGCACACACTGCATTGAGGTATCTGTCAGACCCTGCTGACAGAGTGCAGAGCTGGAAGAAAGTGATTACCATTTTGTCTGTTTATGGTGAGTCGACAGTTTTATAGTGGATCTAAAACCGATCTCATGTAAGGTGTGTGTGTGAGCGCATGTGTGGCCCCAGGTGACAGTGAAGCAGCAGCTCGTTAGTGGATACGGGGGGGGTTGACTGCTGCGAGATCCTTCACCAACTCACATCTCACTCTCCCTCTCTGCTGAGCTGTCATCAGCTCTATCCCCATGCGCCTCCCCTGCGGACTACAGCTCTTCTTTCCTCAACGCCAATTATCACCCTGGTATATTTGTGCTGTGGCTGGAATTACCGCCCATTAGCCAGTAGCAGGGTAGACCCCAGGCTGAACCACTTAGTTATAATTTACACAAATGGTGGTGGCAACCACTGTTGTAGAATTATTATTAAAAACAAACTTGCTCTAACATTATGAACCAGCACTGCTCTCTCGCGCTCTGGTTTTGCTTTGGTTCTTTGCTCTGTGCGGTAGAAACTTGAGCCCCTCTGATCCAACTTGGCAATTAACTGACGGCAAGTTATCCGTCTGTGAATGAGATCGTTAAAGACATATTACATATTACAATTATATTGTACATACAGTAGCTATATTGCTATTTCATGACAGGCTATATGCCGTGATTAACAGGTTTTTTCCGTCAATGTAGCTGTCTGTGCCCAAGGAACCATTTTAATGTGCAAATATATGAACGTGCATTCTGGGTGGATGAGGATGTGCGTGTGTGTGTGTGTGTGTGTGTGTGTGTGTGTGTGTGTGTGTGTGTGTTTGTATTACTTGCTTCTTAGGCATGTTTCACACATGCAACTTGTGTGTGACATAAGTCATGCTTCAGTGTTTGTGTTTTGTTTTCATTGTTTTCCATAGTTAATTTTACTATTACTGCACAGCGTGTGTGAAATATGATAAAAGTAGGCTCAATGCATATTCTCTGTATGCCACTTTGACTGTGCTCTTTCGCAGAAGAATGCACTAACCTGTGAACATGGCGGCCGTACTGAAGAGCAACACGTTCTGCGTCGTTAACAGTGTAACAGTGTGTCTGGCTTATGGCAGCAGTGTGAGTTTAAGTGTAGGAGGTGCATGTCATGATTTGTACTTTCCTGTAAGCAGGTAAGAAAAAAAGTCACTTTCTGAGTATTCTCAAATTCTAACAAATACATGTTTCTTCTGAATGAATAAACAGGAGTCAGTAGCTAAATACAATTTTTGAATTTCAAATGGAGAAAACACACTTTGTAAAGTAAACAGTATTTTTATTATAAAATACAAAGATCTTTTTTAACACAATTTTGCTGATTAATATAACACCATATTTTGTTCAGACATAGTACAAGATACTGTTATTTGTACTTTAATGTTCAAAATTATTTTGGAATGCCAAATTAGAGATTGATTGACTGGCAGCAAGAAAAAAGCTTATACCTTAATTCAACTTCACTTTCTCGCTGCGTGCATTTAAAAATAATTAAACATGAAATTTTGCTAAGAATGTCATACAAAGCACAGTGATTATTCCTTTGAAACCTACACGTTAAAATGTAATATGAAAAAAAAGTCATGCTGTGACATGACGTGTGACGCAGCAATACAATTGCCTTGCTCACATGGAAGATATCATCCCATGTGAATATCCACTCCTAGATTTTGATTAATGGCCAGCCGCAGACCAATAGTACCAAATTTTCATTAAACTTGGATTTCGTTTAATTTCTGCTTACCACCAGAATCAGCGCAAAGTGCAGTGGATGCTGAATACAAACAAAATCCCAAGAAATTAAACTGACTAGTTAGCACTGCCAAGCATATTGCATGAGGGAAGGCCACATTATAGAACTGGGAGAATATCCAAGGCTACACACATTACAAAGTAGCTCTGGCACATATGTCTGCCTTACACAGTGCAACCATAGAAAAGATCCAGGATGAGGGGACAGCTGGACTTTATAGAAATTACCTCTGTTCTTGTCACTAAAGCAAATAAATAATTGGTCTGTCTGATGAATGTCAATGATCAAGTCCACATAATATCTCAAAGCCTAGATTGGGCATAACAGAAAATGTCAGTTCTGTGAATTAAGCCAGTTCAACACACTGATTTACATATTAAGGCAGGAATGCTGGATTGGCCATAACATGATGCTAGAGTGATATGGGCTCCTTGCCAGGCATAGCAGGCTCACAAAGAGTGCTGGCTGCCTTCCTGCCCATTTAGCTGAAGTAATGGCCTGAAGAAAGGTCTTAATGAAATCCACTCAAGCCCTACTTGTGACAGTGTGACAGTGGAAATAACAGCCATGCAGACTTTAAGCATGGATGGCTGATCTTTATCCAGTGCCACAGAGACCAAACATTGCACTAGGCTACATAGTATCAGTATCTGCATATCAGTTAGAAAACATTTTTCAGGAGAGGCTTTTCAGTAAGGCTCTTGCAAGCTAGATGGTCTCCAACCTGGCAATTCTCAGTCTGTCTGCTACAAGTCTGGTCCACAGACATAACTGAAGACACAGTCTACCTCCCAGCTCTAATGGGATATTCTTCATGAGCAAGAGCTTCCATGTTTATCTCCTTAGCAGGCACAACAGCAGTGGCACCATGCTCTGTCAGTCCATCATGGAGCCACTAGTACAGGATGGTGGTTACCACCCATTATGGCTTGACTCGTTAAGGGACAAGCTTTTCACGCCCTTGATTTTAGTGTGCACTGTAGGGATTGGTATCATTAGGATTTTATTGATACCGATATTGCTCATCGATACCAATGCTTATCAGTACTCTTATTGATACTACTCTCCATAATTTGGTGCATAAAATAGAAACATGATATGAAAAAAATGTGAAAAGATTCAAAATGAAAATATGTGAAAAGTCTATGGTTATCTTCCTGCAGTTGAAAATATTAACAAACACAAGCAAAACAAAATTAGTTACCCCTGGTTATCAGGATAGCTCAAACTAATTTCAAATTTAGGCTACCTAGCTAGCAGGTAGGTCTTTATGCTATGCTATCTACCGAATTACCCAGGAGGCTGCTAAAGCAAACACGCTGCACTGCTTCAGATTTATAGCCTGTTGTATTTGTAAGTATTTCATGAGATTTCTAACCCCCTAATATTTTACATATATTGTATTTAGCTGCATTATCATTAAATTGAGTAAAAATGAGCCCACACTTTTGAACATCTTATACTTTCAGCCATGACTGGAGAGCACAGAATGACACTCATTTAAAATGGTTAAGGTAGTCAGAGGCTTGTAAACACATTCATCATACAGAGCAGAGCACCCCTCCTGCTGATCATATATAGCACCAACCATTTGAAAATACTTGCTATGTAGAAGGAATTAAAGTTGCACGAATACCATTAGCAGCACTGTTTGTCCAGGAGCTTGTCGATATTTCGGTACTGAGCAATTTAGTACCGGTTCTCAATACCCATCCCTAGTGCACAGTGTAGCCTTATACACAGTAATCGTATTACTTTATTACTTCCAGGAAAAGATAATCTTACTTATCATCAGTGGTGGACAGTAACTAAGTAAATGTAATTCGTTACTGTACTTAAGTAGTTTTTTTGTGTATCTGTACTTTACTGAAGTATTTCCATTTTGGGTGACTTTTTACTTTCACTCCACTACATTTCAAAGTCTAATATCTTACTTTTTACTCCACTGCATTGTATGAAATCTGTCGTTCCTTTTGTCTTATGTGTGTATAAAAACATAACGTCAAAACAAAAGAAGCGCCAAGCAAGAACACCAATCAGGGTACAGTGCACACTTTGTTTTCAGCTTGTTTTGACCTGTTGGACATACCGACCTAGTGCAAGCGTACGGTTCTACGACTGCACCAGTGTAAAATTTTGGGAGTGTCTATTCCAACATAAATGATGGAACTAACCTAACTTCGTGTAAATACACCACAATATAGAAATATGTACACACATGCAGTTGTGACTGTGTCTTTTTTCTGAATTTTTTCTGAAAACACTTTCATTTTATAGTAAATTTGTTTTGGCTAGTTTATTTTTATGAACAGAGACCTACAGAAGCAATATAGTAAAGGAAAACCCATTTGTGAACCTGTGTTTAAAGCAAATTTTTATTAAACTTAAACTTGTAACTAAATTGCAAATAAATCTTAAACTGAAACTTTGCATGTTTGCAAAAAAGTTATTTCAGAGCCACTTGGTTCTACCTAATGGAAATTGTTTGCCTTCAGTGTTTTGTTCTTATGAATATTTTAATAGACATCAGTGTCAAACTAATTAATGACATTCTATTAAAAGATTGCTTTACCGAGAGTGACACTGGAGTTTT